TAAAGGTCGTGAATTTTGTGAAAGTTTATTGCTCGGGTTGGCGGCACGTTCAGGGCGCTATAGTACGTACTTACTTTTGTTAGACGCACAACTAACCTTACATGAAAGAAAGATAACTGCTTGTGGCAGGAGTAGAAAAACTACCGCGTTAATAAAAATACACGCAGGGCAGTTGATCGTGGCTGGTGTGGCCCGTATGGACGTTAACGTACTTCAACCGAAAACTAGGACACATCAACACTAACAGGTTTCCTTTGGCTATTTGTGACACCTACTATACACCGAGGATCTCTCGCGCAACTACCAACAAATACGTGCGACGACTACCAAGCCTATTGAAGGATTTTAGCAGCGTAACCGTTTCAACGTAAAAGGAACACGATTTATGGCATCACAACGGTTTGTAAAAATAAAGGCCTGATTAGCCCAATAGGACAATCAGCCCCTACAATAACGTAGGCGTGATTAAGGTGTTGTTCAGAACTATGGGGAGTGCTAAATCGGGATATAGAGTAGACTAGTTAAGTCGTAGAAGGTAAAAGAGGTTTTGTAAAGCAGAGAGTCGGTAAAAGTCTAAGAAACTACTTATCCAGAATGATCAATCCTCAGGACAGCTCCTGAAAATTCGGAGGAAAGGGTCTGAATCCAGCGATGAAAATCGGATTTTATGAACACTTAACTGAGAATCTTATTTAATCCTTGAGGATTTACATTCTACTGTGACGGGTAATACGAATCCTCAAAGAGATTAAGTGGTCAATTCCGATGAAAATCGGATTTAGGAAATCACTTATGCCGGGGTCCTCAGATGTCTATTCCTTATTAATATGTACCTAATAATATTTATCTTATTAATATTTAGCCGATATTTGTCCACTTAGATATGCACATTTGCCGTAAATGCCAGTTTATACTATTTTGTGCACCCACCACTCATACCCGAACGTCAGATAGTTCGCCGGTCTCAAGGTCGTCCCATTGTCGGGACCCCTTCCTTCGACTGGGCTTGGACGACAGGAACGACCTCCGAGGACTCCACGGAGGGGCTCCCATCCTCCTGCTTGTCTATCAAACGTCCCTACTCTCCACAGAAACTTCTACACACGCGGGAGACGTTTGTGGCTTAGGGACGTACGGACTATGTCATCATCTTTTATTGTTATGTTGTTACTATAAAAAAATTTTTTTATTTTTATTTTTTTTTTTATCTAATAGCTGAAGAGCGATATTGTTAATTCTCCCATATTGAGAAGACAATATGGAATACATGAGACGAGGACTTGTACAGACGCCGGGTTAACGATAACACCTCTTCGTATCAGGTCCAAAACTGTTCCATGCTTCTTAGACACCTTTGGAAAATTTCTTTATAGAGACTAACACGACGTAAAGATTGAAGGTAACACTCAGTGTCACAATTTCCTCTCGTTACATAAAGGTCTCCTCATATCAAACACAACGAGAATCTAGAATAGTGCAAATGACATGACCGCACAGCAGGGGTCCCAAAAGGTCCACGAACGATCTCCTAACTTTTCACGATCCTGATGCCAGTATTCAGCCCCTAGCGACGCCGGTGGTCCTCTTGCGCGTCTACTGGACTCGCTCGTCACAGGGCAGAAGGACGTCACCGACCTGAGACAGGTGGTGACGAGTTTGTCAAAGGGACGCAACGAAGCTCAAGTTGCTCCGGAAGGACACACCAGCCAGGATGTCGTTAGAAATAGGTGAGGATGTAACACATGTAAATAACCGTCTAACGATTGTTGGGACTTATTACATTTACGGCGATTTCCAGACTGAATAGAAGGTTGTACGACAGTCCAGTTCGACCACGTTCGTATGGGTATGAGCACAGACATGCCTTTGGAAGGACACGTTGTTGCGAGCATCTCCCTCCGCTCCTTATAGAGTTTGCGTGGACCGAGGCAGAGCAGGGACGAAGCGTTACCTTTGTCTTTGAAGGTCTTGAAGAGAGTGTAGGGTTCAGTACTATACATGGGATAGGTCAAACGTTTGGACGTGGGTCCTACTCTGGAATTGTCGTCTTAGACTGGGCAAAGGGTGTTTAAGGGTCAGTTTAGAACTTACGTGGACGGGGAAAATTATGTTCTGTGCTAATTGTGTTGATCGAGGTTCGGCGGTGAGTGAAATTTCCCGAAATAAAAGAGAGACCACATTTGACCCAGAAGTAGGAATTAGTGTTTAGGGGACTCCCTTTACAGAGCTAGTGGACCGACAGCTCACTGTCGAAGTGTCAGTTTATTTTGTAAGCCCACGATTAGTCTGAAATATGTAAAGGATAATAGTTTGCAGGGTGCTTTTAATTGCCTCCTCGATTTAATGCAATTTACGTATTTTTATTGTTTGCTCTCTCTCTTTAACGTGCATATACAACTTCATTATCGTGGTCTGCACAAACTTGTCATCATGCGTGTATTCTGCTAACTGCACTGTCCATAACTATTTGATAGGAATACATTTATAGCCTAGGCTATTTCCTTGTTTTTCGGTGATTTAGTGGGCTCGTTTGTGGGATGTTGCGGATGAGTTTCACCGAGACCGCCTAATCTGAACAACCAATCACCGTACTGACCGCTTCTAAACTCATGCACGAGAATCAACGTCATCCATAGCAACGGCGCGTCACTCTTAGTTTCTTAGTGATTTATTCTTAGTATGAGTAGGTCTCAGCGGCTTTGTGAATAACTTTTAAGAAAAAACTCCTACGTAAAATGTTTTAGCGCGAGTTAGGAGCACTCCTAGCGGTAAGATAAAATGCTTTATGAATACCGCCCCTGAACCGCTATTTTGCACTTCTGGTCAGATGCCTAAACTTACATTTCGTCACTAGTACATGTACTACGTAATGACAATAAAGTTGAACCTGAATCTGAGGATGATTTTCTGAAACACTTGTGATTTATTTGTAATAGTTATATAAATATATTATATACAGTATATAACCAAATATACTGTATATTTAACACTGTTTATGTTTTATGTCTACTTAATATGCCTACCTAAATAATCATTTTTACTGATATAATTGTGCTGTGACATCACATGTTAAGGAGACAATGAAAAAATGAAGATCCCACAAAAATCAGCTTTACAATAATACTACATTTCTAATATTTTAATACCTACAGTATACAACATTCTGTGGCCACACCCTGCAGACTCTCACCTCTATTGTCCTGTAGTAGGGGTCCAGAAGGATCTTGGAGAGGGCTACAATCTGGGGTGTGCGGTCCCACCCGTCCGAACAGTGCACAAGGACAGGACGTCCATCCCTCTCCACAGCCGAACACACCAGAGTGGCTGCCTTCAGCATGATGGACAGGTGCTGCAGCCAACGAGTGCTCTCAAGAGCCGAAAGCCAGCTAGAAACACAAAGAAGACTGATTAGATAAGAACCAATCAATTCCCTTTCACGGTGAAGTGATCTGGAGCAGGGATGCTGTATACGTAAATCAGTGTTGGTTAACCAGGGTCACGTTAGACTGGGTTATTATGCTAATGAGAAAGGAGGCTTCTGACCTAAATCAATGGAGGCCTTTCTGCGTTACACACCTTTATCAGCATAACAACAAGGCTTAAAATAGCATTGTGTGACGTCAAGGCACCTAAGTGAACATACAGCCACAAAATAAACACAATAGTAAAACGCACACAGCGGAGAAAGACACACAGATGTAAACGCAGGAACAGAAACACACATGTCCACTGTCAGTGTGTACAGACGGACAGCTGGCCGGCACAGCAGGAAGGGGACTGGACCGTGGAAGCGTTGCCATCTCGGTGTTGTGTTGCCTTACTGTGAGGTGAAGCCATTAAAAGTGAGGAGGAGGGGGGGGGGTGCTCAGAGAGAAGGTCAAACAGATCGACTCACTTTCCTGGATCGGGGATCTGACTGCAGACGGTCCTCAGAGCCTGGAAGCTGTTCCGGATGGCGTGGATGTTTGCCATTCCCATGAACATCACCTCGCAGTTGGGGTAGTACTCTGATTACAAACAAACATAAACAACTCTGATGAAGGTCACAAGACGTAAACAACAGTAGCATGGCGAGTTCAGATGATGGTTATCTTATCGTGTAGATCAAATGAGACATTCATGGTGTTTATTTTTGGGTGCTGGCAGAATATCCTGCTATCTATGGCTGTGCACAATGTATTTGTTTTTACATTCAAAGTTTCATTGAGTTAATTAGTTTATATAGATAGTGTTGGGGAAATATTTTCCAAGGCCCATAACTTTGACCCAGTGTATCAGTTCTGTCCTGACTGAGCACACACACCTGTAACCTGGCTGCTGTGCTCTCAGTGTTCTGTCTCCCTGTTCCTGCCTGTTGGATCAGCTGATAGAGGTGTTATGATTCTATCTTGTTATGCAGCATGTTGATTATTCTCTCTGAACTAGCTAAATACATGGGTCTGGGGTAGAGTTCTTCAGAATTGACGTGGCAACTCTACCGTGAAGTCAGAACCTCTGACTCTTTGACTTGTTTTGTGAATTCTCCGGCCGAAGCTCCAAATAAACCCATCAGTGTTTGCCATCAAAGCTCCAGCTCTCCCCGTGTCTCCTTTTGAGTCGGTGACTCCTCCTGCATTGCTCCACAGACGTTTCCCCCACAGATAGTATTTATCGTGCTATTAGATCGCTGCTAGACTGCGCCATTAATACAGGCTTCCCTCTGTGAACAAATTGTTCTTTCACAGGTGTGAACATTTTGTTTTTGAAAAGCTCAATTACTGGTATAACATTAATATAAGAAAACTGTGCAGCATTTCAGTGTTGATTTAAAATTCAAATGTCAAGGTTATGAATACAACCTTTGTAGCTTGTACTGTTTGATAAAGCCCTATGAATGTCATATTCTAAATTCACTCTAACTCTCTAGAAGTGTCGTGAACACTCTCTAGAATGTCTTTTAACTCTGATCTCATACCTTAAAAACTGTAACATTCATGAAATAGAGTCAGACTTTTCAAATGTTTGGTTGCACCAACCTTCACACTCACAGCCTCCGCCCTTGGCTCTGTTGGCCACTGCGGCGGTGTATGAGCGAGCGTCCAGAATCAGCAGCTTCTGTGGCACAGTGTTGTCACTGCAGCCAGAGCCGCCCGTCAGAGAGGAGTCTGGAGGACAGAGAGGATTTGAATGTTAAAAAAAAAAATCCATAGCTCCTCCTGCTGACACAACCGCAGTGTCGCTATAGGTAACGATCACAAATCAGGAGACCTGCTTTTAAAAGCTACCAGGGAGAAAGAAGAGTAATTACTCTGAGGCTGCAACTACACTACTCTGCACTCAGTTAGCGTGGCGCTACCACTCCCTTTCCAGCCTGTCATCGTGCCCAGAGTGAGGCAGTTAAACATCCTTTCAGACATCCACGTCACTCTCTGCGTTTACACAAAAACATAAAAAACAGAGTATAAACAAGATGCAAATTGTTGTTTTTCTGTATATGTTGCGGTGACAACTGTCCCACTTTGTATCCTTCTAACGTTTCTGTAGCCAAGGCTGATTATAATAAGATACCATTAATGATATGTACTTTCATTTAAAATGGGAGCTTGTCAGGAAAAACAGCATGACAACAACATATTTTATTGCTACTTAATTCAATATAAATTGTTTTCTCTGTCAGAAAGCCAGTGTTCAGTCATGTGTATATCTGTGTGTGTCCAATAGCCATTGGCTGCTCGGTGGCAATACAGCATTTTCAGTCAATGATAATATATTATATTATTTTACAAACTGTTGGTAGTAGTAGTCCACTTTAAAATTGAGGAAAATGAACGAGACATCTAAATAATGGAATTTATTTTCTTCCTTCCAAGTCATATGGACATGTTCACATAATCAGCCAGCGTAATATTGCATTCTTGAGAGCTACAGTGCCTTAAGAGTGAATCTGAACATATAAATCAAACCACTGCTTTACCAAAATCACTATCGGAGGAGTCTGGAGCGTCCCCGCGATGTCTGCAGGCCTTTGCTCCGGTGTCCAAATGACACGCCTTTGCGATGGATGTCACCAGGTACTCATCATCCGTGTTCCTCCAGCCCCACCAGCTGATCTCAGGCTGGCTGCAACGGGAGATCACCGCCCCGTTTTTCTGGTGCCTGCAATTCAAGGTAATACTCACTAAATTGCAGACTGAAGAAGCAAAACGAGGCAATGCTGTTAAAGATATTGGTGAAATTGTTTGATTTGTGGCTTTGTGTCAGTAACCCCACCTGTAGACCACCACAGGGATCCTCTTCCAGGATCTGAAGGAGCCCACACTCTCCAGCTCCTTGTCTGTGATCCATATTGGAACCAGAAGCTTCTGTGGGTAGCTGGAGCACATCCTGTGGACAGGAAGGACACTTTGTTTTCATAGAGGAAGGTTCTCAGTAAAAAAACTAAACAAACTTCTTTGACATTCTGTTTTTCAGGGTCAATATGATCCTTTCCTTCATGTCTTTCCTTAATGTCTATTCACCTGCTGACTGTCTGAGGAATGAAGCAGAGACAGAGAGTGTGTGTGTGTGTGTGTGTGTGTGTGTGTGTGTGTGTGTGTGTGTGTGTGTGTGTGTGTGTGTGTGTGTGTGTGTGTGTGTGTGTGTGTGTGTGTGTGTGAGGGAAAGTGAAACTGTGCTGAGTCATGGGCCTCAGCAGGCTGCTGCTTGTTTAATTAGCCAGTTGTCCTGTGTGTCTCTCTCTCCCAGCAGGAACTGCTCTGTTGGGTACTACGAGCAGACTGACCTTTTTTTGTAGCGTTTATTTGCCCAGACAGCAAAGGAGAAGGGAGAGTCTCATACATAGATGGGTTTGTATGTTGGAGAATGTAATGGTCAGGGTCAGTTTGAGAGGTCAGAAAAGACAAAGCCAACAAGTATACAAACTAAATCCCTATTAAGCATTACGAGATTTAGATAGCTATGTCGTTGGCAAACAACAGTAGATGTTAGCTTAAAATGTTAGCTTAAAATGTTGAGAGTGTGTTGCTAACGGTAACGCTACATCTTTCTAGTGTGTTGCTGAGTCAAAGACAGATCTATGAAAAAGTTATTTTATTTGTGATTTGACAATTTAAGTGCAGGAAGAAGATATGTAGCTTTTGAAATTGGGTCCAATATTTATGGGGCAAGTGATTTATCTGTGAGCACGTCTCCCTTAGGAGTTAAAAGACTCGGCCTACTGCCGGTATGGGAAATGGACTGTCATTTATCAGGCAGTGTTTTTGAACAGGTTAAAATATTTTCTTTTTTCTTTTTCTTAATGGATTTATGAACATCTATTTTGCAAAGGACATCTCAGACAATGTTGACCATAGGAAATGTGAGTCACACCGAATGTAACGTTGACCTGATGACAGATGACTATGTGTATATTGTCTATGTGCTCATTCTACTCTAATCTACAGGACTGTCTCAGAAAATTAGAATATTGTGATAAAGTTCTTTATTTTCTGTAATGCAATTAAAAAAACAAAAATGTCATACATTCTGGATTCATTACAAATCAACTGAAATATTGCAAGCCTTTTATTATTTTAATATTGCTGATTATGGCATACAGCTTAAGAAAACTCAAATATCCTATCTCTAAATATTAGAATATCATGAAAAAGTATACTAGTAGGGTGTTCAACGAATCACTTGAATCGTCTAATTAACTCGAAACACCTGCAAGGGTTTCCTGAGCCTTGAAAAACACTCAGCTTGGTTCAGTAAACTAAATCACAAGTATGGGGAAGACTGCTGATCTGACTGCTGTCCAGAGGACCGTCATTGACACCCTCCATCAGGAGGGTAAGACACAAAAAGAAATTTCTCAAAGAGCAAGCTGTTCACAGAGTGCAGTTTCAAAGCACATCCACAAAAAGTCTGTTGGAAGGGGGAAATGTGGCAGGAAACGCTGCACAACCAAGAGAGATGACCGCAGCCTTAACAGCATTGTGAAGAAGAGTCGCTT